GTGGTTTGTTAAAACTTTGGAAATATTTTTCTCACCGGGCCCCACGGTGGGCGCCAATTGTTGATGCCAAGCTTGGAGCAGCCTGCTTCAATATGTTTAAGGTCCGAAGAGCGCTGATTTCCCAAAGTCTTTACCACCTCCAGCTCTGTGCGAATACCTGGGAAAAAAGTTCCACCGGGGAGTCCTGGTTGGAACCTCCTCCGACGCTCAAATTAGTAACCTGAATGGAATAAAATAAATAAGATAAAGTTAGACCGGGTTCGGTCGCACGATCGTAATTGAGCGTCGTCAGCTATTTAATGTCGCTCGGTGGAGAACATCCACGATTCCATGGCTTAGTCCGCCAAATTGAGGGTGTGTTGAGTGTTTAGAGATTTAACACGTTTTGGGAGATCGGGAGGAGAGAAAACGTTTTTTAGAGAGAGAAAGTAGAGAGAGTGTATTGTGTGTGAGTTGTGTTGTGTGAAGTAGTCGTAAGTGACTTATGTTGTGTGTGTGTGACTGACGTTGTTATGTATAATGGGGGAGGGGTGCTCCCTATTTATAGGGAAAAGTCGTAGTTAAATTCCTTGACGTACGTTAACATTCATCAACATTCTCCGTTTTTACCTAATACTCGTCAATATTCTCCGTTATACCTTAACATTCTCCGTCATACACCAACATTTCTCAATAATCATGGTATATGAGAATATCCAAGTGTGTATGAGAAATTGTAAGTATATAATGGAAGATAAAGGAGTATGGGTAATGTAAACGAGAAACATTTACGTATATGCATAAATATGTACATAAGTAAATGAATATGTAAGAAAATGAAAGAAAGAGGAGGAATGAAGGACAAAGTGAATGAAAGTGTATGAAAGTGTATGAAAATGTAGGAATGTGAATGAAAGTGTAGGAAAATTAGTGAATGGGGAAGGGTGGGTCGTCCATGCATGCATGTGGGAGTAAAAAGAAAAGAAAAATAGAAAGAAATGGAAAGGTAGGGAAGTGAAATGAAGAGAGGCTTATGCCATCTAACATGGGAAAAGGGAAAGAGACAAAAGGTTTAGGAGATGTAAGAAAAGAAAGAGGACAAAATTAATGGTTTAGGAAAGATTTCGATTTATACAACGGTACAATATAAATTTTCGGGTGTTTTAGGCACTGTAATACTTACAAATTTATCGAGTTTATTAATAAAAGGAGAGGTTTAATATTTATAAAATTTTATTCGTTAAAAACTAGGTCCATCAGATTGACTTCCATCGCGTCCACCAAGAAGGATCGTCAATGGTTTGGCCTTGGCTTGGCAAAGAGCCGCAAATGGATCGTTCTCCAAAAGTGCATCGAGGTCGGGTGGAAAGCTTTGGTAGCTCTTGTAACTTGTCGATGCTTCATCCACAACGACATTGCCCTAATCTTGGACCTCACTTGCTCCTTCTACTTCTTCCTCAACCTCCCTTCCTTCTTTTTCACTTTGTTCATCCCCTTGGGAACAATCAAGATCTTCCCTTTCTTCAAGTTTAACGTCCTCTTCCACAATCTTCCTTCTTTATTCCTCCTGCTCTTATCGCACCTTCCCATTCATGTCTTCAAGCATGGTTTTGAGGGCAAGATGCCATGCATTCTTTTGCTCCACTTCCCTCGTGAGTCTTCAAAGTTGGTCTCGAAAAGGGGAAAGTGATGAGAGTCGCCAATGAGACACTCTTGATCATCCTCACTCCAAGAGCTTTCCGCGATGAGTACTTCTCATTCCACATAGTCTTCATTGATATCCCCTCTAACCTCCACTTCTTCTTCCAATTGTGTGAGGCGATGGCATGCACAAGCTTGTGCCACCTTTTCTTCTAGCGTCAAACCGGGAGCAGGGAGGGAATGGAAATCCATGCCGGAGCTCGCTCTTCCAAAATTCTCATGGCTCGCCTCTCCGACTTCCTCTCTTCCTTCAAATGGTAGGAGGCAATTGTGAGCAAGTTGTGCATATGCTTGCTCAACAAGCCCTCCTAGCCTCTCCGTGTATCGAAGGAGCTCCTCCGATTCCCGAAGAATGGTTGAGTCTAAAGGAGCGGCAATTTGGAGGTCCATGCTAGAGCACCCTTCATTTTTGCCCCGGGCAAATCGCTCCACTGCGAGCTCTTATTTATTATTTGGCTCTGGTTGTGGAGTGACACATGGTCTTGAGGTTTATCCCATAAAAGCCACCATGGTCAACTCCAACTTGGATTTCACCTCAAGTTGTGGAGGGAAACCTTCTTGCTATGGGGAAACTTCTTGGTATCCCCATGGGCATGGTTGCTCTTCTTGGAAGGGGGGTTGGTAGTAGAATTCGGATCCTTGACTCCCCCCATTTTGATCATCCCATGAAGCTCTGGGGTAACCACTCTCGGGTGGTGGTGGATACCCCCACACTTGGGTAAAGTCATAAGGATCCATGATCCAATACCTACAAACACAAAACACTAATAATGAAAATCAAACACACACAAACCACCCTTCAAAATGAAGAGTGGAAAACAACACACAAACGAAATACAAGACAAAAACAAAAAGGCAAGATAGAAAACGCTAGAGTAACACTAAGCGACTTTTTCAAAATAACGGACCATAAGGTTCCCCGGCAACGATGCCAAAAACTTGACTGACCACCGATACATCGCGAATTAATCCCGACTAGAGCTCAAGCATAAACTCTAGCCTGGTGCAGTAGGGCAAATGTTTTAATTGTCAAACCCGGGCCAGTCCATGTACCCCTACTTTAATCGCTAATTAGGTTGTTATCTAGCAAACGTTTTTGGGTTTAAAACTAAGAAAACTACAAATGAAAAAAAGCAAGTAAAGTAAATTGAGGGGAATTCTATATGAGAGGACCTCACCCGGTGATTGCTCCCCCTAGTCTCGTGCTAAGAATCAATGAACGAAACTCTAGTATGAAGGGTATGTTTATATACCGCGAGGCGGGTGCAACAAGATAGGAACGAGTCCTCCTAGTCGATCAATCAAGGATTGTCACAATAAGCTAGCGAACCTAGCCCTCTTAACCGCTTGGCTAAGGATTGCAACAATAAGCCAAGAGGCCTAGCTCTCTTAATCAAACAAACCAAGGAAACCCTAACTCTATTAGTTGACCAATTAAGGATTGTTGCATTAAGTTAGTATACTAACTCTCTTAACCTTTCGGCTAAGGATGACAACAATAGGCTAGACAATCTAGCCCTCTTAACTAATCAACTAAGGGTTGCAAGACCCAACCCTCGGAAGTTAATCCGGATGGCGGAGAGTGACCAACATAATGTGATCATGGTACTACTCTGATACTTGAGGTTTTGGCCCTAGATTAACTCAAAAGGGGTTACCCATGTGGCTAGGAGATCACGCTCCCCATGGGCCAAAGGGGATTTCCACCTTCTAGGTTAATTTGACCCAATAATGAAATAATATGAGCAACACCCAATCATTCATGATTAATACCTCAAATATTATATAAAACACACAATCAACAAAATATAATCAAGTTCTTACATCCTAACACACATCTAGGCTAGGATTCACAATACCCAAGTGAGTAGGAAGGCTAATCCATAGCTAGGCAAAGGAAAACAACAAAAAGGAGAGAAAGAACCATGGAGAGATAAAAATCTTCCTTCATTCTTGTCTGAATCTCTCTTGAGAATTTCATTTGATAAGTTCACGGTCCATGGCTTCAGTTCACGGTCTTACGACCATGAACTGGCAGGGTGTCAGTAACCTCGGAAACCTCTCTGGACTCCTTTCGGTTCACGGTTTATGATTTCAGTTCACGGTCCTGGCGACCGTGAACTGCGGTTGCATTCCTGGGCCCCCGCGCTTCACGGTCACGGGGAAATTGTAACGGACTTTGGACTTTTCTTTGATTTCTGCAATTTTCGACCTCCAATCGTCCCGAAACTAGTCCTCGACGCTTCCACACGTGCTAGGACCCAAAATGTATCAAAACAAGCACAACCTAGCGTAAAATATGTCGAGGGACGATGAAATGCAAAGCCAAACTATCAAGAAATGAGGGGTAAAATGTGTACAATTGGTCACTCGAATTAGTAAAATTGTTCACGTTTAGTCACTCTCTGTTAACTTTATCTCATGTGGCAGTCAACCTTAACAGTTGACCGTAAATGTCTGACGTGGTAATTAAAATATTAATAAAAATTTAATTCTTTTAATATTTCTACATCATTAAACAATAAACTAAAATAAATAAAATAGTGTACACTCACAGAGATGGAGTTGGGCGCTGACGAGGTGCAACCAGAGGGATTTCCCAAGGAAGTCTGAAACGTCGTCCATCCCTATCCCTAGGAACCCACTCATCGTCTCTATCACGGTCACCACCGCCTTCTTCTTCGCAACCACCACTGTAGCACCACTACTCTTTCTGCCGGTTCTACTTCCAGCCGCAAAAGCCCCGACAGCGGCCGTAGTCCTCCTCGGGTAGAAGGACGGCAACAACGAGGATTCAGTCAGCATTGTTGTCGAGTTGTTGTTATAAACCGTTTTACTCTCGATCAACTTATTACGCGTGGAAGGTACTTGCCCAATATTTGTTGTATGTGTTATTAGGGCTGTCATTTCGGTTGCTGGTTAGCGGCTAACCGGCCGGTCTAACCGTTAACCGCCGGTTAGCGGCTAACTAGTAACCGAAAATAACAGGGGGCGGTCGGTTGGCGGATGCTGTAAGTGGTTCGGCGGTTAGCCGATTAACCGACGCCGGTTAACTGGCTAACCGACACTTACCGACCGACAAAACGACACCGTTTTGGCCTAACTGAAACGACCCAACCCCATCCCCAACCCTAGCATCCTCCCTCTGCCTCAAACCCTCTGTTCTCGGCCTCCATCCTCCCTCAGCCGCCACTCCCATAGCACATCCGGCGACGACTCCGCCTCCAATCGCCTCGCCGGTCGCCGCATCCCTCCAATCGCCGGTCGCCGCCTCCCTCCAATCCACTCGTCGCGCCTCCCGCCTTCACGCGCCGCAACCCTCCTCCAGCCTCCATCACCGCCAGTCCGCCATCGCTGCCTCCCTCCAATCCACTTGCCACGCCTCCCGCCTTCACCCGCCGCGCCGCAATCCTTCTCCAGTCTCCATCACCGCCAGTCCGCCATCGTCGCCTCCCTCCAATCCACTCGCCGCCTCCCTCAAATTCCGCGACGAGCAGAAGCCGTTGTTCCGAGCCAAGGTTCCGCTGAGCATTCTGGGCTTGCCTTTCCAAGCCGGAATCGCCGCCGGCGAGGCCAAGGAGCTCTCCCTCAACCTCTCGACGTTCTTCGATTCCGGCCCGTCGTTCAAGGTCGCCTACCGCCCCAACGATTCGTGGAATCCGTTCTCCCTCGTGCTCAAGACGGGGTCGGGGTCATTCGGGTCGCCGACGTCGAGCGCGATGGTGATGAGCGCGGAGTTCAATTTGGTCGGGAAGGGGAACCCTAGCTTCATGCTTCATTTCAAGCCGAGGTTTGGAGAAGAGTATGACCCTTAACCCGAAACCTGATTTTTTCCCCTTGCTGTCTGGTCGGTTTTGGCGGTTAACTGTCGGTTCGTGGCGGGTACCGGTCGGGTTTTGGCTGTTGTCGGTCGGTCAGGCAGTTAAACCGAACCACCCATCAATTTTTCGGTTGCCCCGGTTAAACTGAACCTGAACCGAAAACCGCCCGGTCGGTTTGCGGCTAACCGGGGCTCTAGGGACGGTCGGTTAACGATGGCCACTGGTCAGGTCTCGGTTTAACCGAAAACCGAGAATTCAGTTTTCGGTTAAACCGAAACCGACCGGTTGCCAGCCCTATGTGTTATGATGCAGGAGAGTCCTTAAATCACCTTCTTATGCACTGTCTCTATGCAAACCAAGTCTGGGATTTCTTCTTCTTGCGGTTGCAACTTCAAGGACCCAAACGAAGACGACGTAGCGAGTTACTCCAACAATGGATGTATCTTTCAAGTGGTTTTCAACACAAGAAGGTTGTCTGCATTCTTCCATTGGTAATTTTTTGCCAGTTATGGATTGAAAGAAATACAAGAATATTCAAAGACCGAAGAGAGACTCCCAACTCCACTATCAACAAAATTTGCAGTATTGTTTGCGAGTTAGCTTTGATTCACAAGCTTGTGCCTATGCAACATAGTAACTACTTGTTATTCATGGAGTTATATTTTCCATAGACCCTCCACTATTTTGATTAATAAAATTCAACAATTCATCAAAAAAGTGCTATTGTCGTCTTTCCCTTCTGGAATAGTGAGTGGAAGTGGAAGTGAGAGAAGATCTGAAGGAAGCCGAAGGGTTTCTGATTTCTTGCTTTATTCTTCTTTCTCCTAGAGATAAATTCTAGCTCGAGAATCCCTGATTCGAGAATTTCTGCTTTGGTTTGGTACTTTTTTAGATGCTTCTTCTCAGTGTGATCTGTTTCCCCAAACCGCCGTCTGCAAGTGCTACTTCTTTGATTATGTGGGGAAATTACGATTCGAGGACGCTGGAGATGGCTTCGTTTCTAGATTCAACGATGTCCTTCGTCGGCAGTTCTTCATCCGACCTTGTTTACTGTCTTGATGAAGACTTGGATACGAATCGGAGGGACTGGCTACGACAATAGTCCATGAGCTCTCCGTCCATTATTCTGTCGGGGAATACAGGGAAGTTCTAGACATCGGTGGTGGAAATTTTTCTGGGAAGGGATTTTTCTGGGGACAGGTCAGATGGGAAGAGATTTTTTGGTTTTATGTATTTTAGTTTGTTATTTTAATGATGTGGGAATATTAAAAGACCCAAATTTATTTTTATTAATTTTTAATTGCCACATCAGACATTTAACGATCAACTGTTAAAGTTGACTGTCACATCATATAAAGTTAACGGAGAGTGACTAAACGTGAATCATTTTACTAATTCGAATGACCAAAATTGATATTAATTTTTTCCAATGACTAAATGTGACACGTGTTAGTAAACCCAGTGATCAACCTTGGCATTTACCCAATTATTTTTTTAGTGTTTAATGAATGTTTCTTGTAAGGGAAGAGAGAGAATTCAAATAAGAAAAGGAGAAGGAGAGAGGATGAAACTTAGGGTGAGAAGGAATAGGGATTTGGTTTTGAAATTCTAGGAATATGTTTTTTGTTTTCTATGGTTAATGACATAAGAATACTGAAACTCAAATATTTTGTATTGACATTTCTTTTGATTCCAAGCGTTTCATTTCTGGTTCATGCACACATTCGAGAAGTCATCCTACCAAATTTTTATCAAGTGACAACCTCAATTTTGACTATATTGATTAATTATATTCACCTTGCACGAATTTGAGAAGTCGTCCCACCAAATTCTTATCAAGTGACAAATTACTCGATTTCGACCATATTAATTAATTATATTCACCCTGCAGTCGATTGCATCTCAATCATTTCACATTGGCGGTGCTAGAAATGACCATGCAAAGGAAGTTGAGGGCTTATGTTGGCAGCATATGAAAGCATGCGTTTGTGACATTCTCATTTCAAATGAGGCGTATAGGTCGGTCACTATTACTGTATTAGTGAGTTCAGTTTGAGTAATGTTAGACAGGTTGGCCGGGTCGTGACTTGTGAGGTTCGGGTTATATTCTGCACTTCCGTAATAACAGCAACGTATTGTGTGATTGATTGTTTAAAAGCAAAACGTTTCTTCCAGGAAAAGGTGGGGGGAGATGAAGGAAAGAAAAAAAGAGAGGAGCAATGGTTGCATGATTTTACCTACCAAATCCAACCTTTTAAAATCTCATCTCATGCCCTCCCTGTTTCGAACCATCGTTCAACGTTTTTACACATATGGCCTGTGACCCCAAAAAAAAAACCCTAAAAAGTCATGCAGTTTGAATTCTTCCTTCTCCACAGCTTTCAAATTTGCGGTTACCTATCACACTGTTTCCCCCCGCCAATTGCCATATTGGAATTTGGATTAGCTAACATCTGGAAAAAAAAAGTCGTTTGTTTGTTTCGTTGGTGAAATGCAGTTGCGCGCTTTCCACCGAAAAGTAATTCCTGAATTAATTTTGTAATAGCTAGCTTGCGATAATATGGGATATGATGTAATTTGATGGGATCCTAACTATACCTTCTCTCATTTGACCTTTTGGTTATCTCTCTTCACTGGCTTCCTCTTTCCCAAGAATGTTTCCCCTTCAGAATCTGTGCACGATCCATGCACACTGCTAGTCTCCATGTGCACATAGATGACTTAATCGAGTATAACTCTGACTTCTTCTGATTCAGACAATTACTGGTTTCGGTGCCACTGCTTGCAAACCACTGGCAGCTAGCTATATGTTTAGTGTATACAGAGATAACCAATTAAATATTTGAAAATTATGCATTCATTATTTATAAGGGTTAGTCATTGTGAGTTAGACGCGTTTTGATTTCGCTCTCAATTAACTAATATACGTAAATTTACTCATTTTTCTCCTAATCAATCAAGATGAGTCTCGGTATTCATACTAACACACTTTCCCTTAGCTCTTGAATTTGATGAAGGTACACTTAAGAATGAAAATCGGTATAGTGTCGGTATATTTTGATATCAAATACCGAAATCTTGAATATCGAATAGTACCCTATAAATAATCTCAGCGTTCTCAAAATAAACTCAATATCTCAATTACACTCCCTAAATATAAAGGTTCGGTATCGGTATTTCCAATTACCAAATTAATTACCTTCATAATTAATAATTAAATATATAAAAAACAAATAATGGTTCGGCCACCTGGTCTAATCTTGAACATTTTTATATGGTGTAGATTTGTATGTTTAATTCCATGATTGTAAACTTTAGCAATGAAAAGTTGAGGTGGGAAAAGTTCAATAAAAAAAATTAATCAAAGCTGACATTGAATTCATTCAATGGATACACCACAGGTGCCCCATTTGGGATTACGAGACTTAAGTAAAGAGTCATGAATTTGTCTAAACCTAAGGCATGGACAGAGAGAAGGGACGAGATGGTAACATATTAATTTATTGACCTTTGTAATCTTTGATTTGAAAGATTGAACGCTGAGAAACAACTAATGAAAGTGCCCTCTTTTTGGTGTTCTGAAAATAACAAGAGATTGTGTGAGAGACTAGCTAGAGTGACCTAGAAAAAACTTTGAAGCCAAGTTTGGATTTGATGGAGGATTGCAAGTTGTCAAAGTGTCAGCAATACTTCAAGTTTGTGAGTTATATATAATGAATTTTAAAATTTCGGTATTGCTTGATATTCTGGTGTATATCGATCTCATAATCTCTAATATCCAGTAACACCCAAAATCAATCACAATCCCTAGAAAAAGCTCGATATTCAATAATAACAGATAATGATAAATTCACTACGGTATTTGATATATCTCAAATATTGGTGCCAAACTTCCAATACTATGTATGATCGTACTGAGAATATAAAAAATAAGATAAGAGAGAGGTTATAGAAATATTGGATGTAAAATCAAATAGATTCAAATATTTCACTTGGAGCAAATAAAAAAGCCAAACGGATGAATAAGGAGACATGGTTGTGTAGATTATATTTGTGGAAGCAGAGCGGAGGATGAAATTTAATATCTTCCGTAGCCATGAAAAAAGGCGCCGACAGGCATTTTATTTACCACCCTTGTGTCAGGGAAATGACCCAATGCATGATGCAACGCAATGCAATGCAGCAACGGTAAATACTTCACCCACAGAAATGCAGCAAGCAATATTGATTGATTTCCGTTTCCCCGAATTGATTCCATCCCCTGGCCTTAGCTAGAAAGGTGGTTGGAATTTATTTATGAGAAATTATTAAGCCTCTTTTTTTTTTTTTTTTTTTTTTTTTTTTTTTTTGCAACAAAAACTCTATAGTCTATTCCAATGGGTGGCAACCAGAAGCATTGTTGTTAATTGTGATTGGACAATGGCCATTTGGGAAGAGAAAGAGTGACAATTAATCAGATGGGTTATCAGCCTTGCGAATTGCGATAGGGTCTTAACACATTCAATTGGACCTGAAAACGGTGGTCCAAAATTGAGAGAGAGAGAGAGAGAGAGAGAGAGACAAAAGAAATCTGTTTGATCTTTGATGGTCCAACCTCTTCCCATCTTCATGGTGACTAAGAGAGAGAGGGAGGCTGCAAATTTGATCCCCATATGGTCCAAAATGTGCGCACAGAACATAATAACATAACAAAAGAGAAGAGTCAAGAGTGTGAATGAGAAGGAGAAAGAGAAGGCAAAAACGAAAACAGAGACTTTTATTTGGTTTGCAAGAGGTGGCTCTGTGTTGGTTACCAACAAAAAGCTGACCTACCAGACCATACCACAAGGATGCCAAGAAGATTATAGCCATCGCCGAGTTTCTTCCGCCTGTCTCTGTTTTCTATCCTACTCTCAGCTGCAATTGATGATTCGTCATATTTCTTTTCTGTAATGTAATGTGCTGCAATAAATAACTAGACGAAGTTTCTGTAGAAATATCCACTCTCTTCTCTTTCATATATTCCAGGCAGCAGGAAGGAAGTAACTAGTACTAGTAAGTAAATATCGTCATTCCAAGACGGCAAGACGTGTAGGGGGCATTCAATATTTTCATTCGCTTCTACAAGACGTTCCTCAATCGATTTTTTTTTTTAAAGGCGCAAACAAGATTATAATTAAGATGTGTATAATATGGGAGCGAATGCCGAATAGGATGTAAAACCACTATCTTATTAGTGTCTGTTGTAGGACTCCCTCCTCGCTGTCTTTGTGTTAGGATTGGAAAAAAAGATCAGATCGTTTGAAAAATCGTAGACTAAACCAGACCGTACAGTTTGGTCCGGACCGTAGACCGTGAAAAATGGTCTAGTCTGGTACATGGTCTGTATTATATGAAGTTTTGATCTCTTGGTCTGGTCTGGTCTAGACCGCGGCTTACCGGACCAAACCGTGGATCTAGCCGACTTCCCAATGCATGTTAGTAGCCCACTCGACCACTCTCCCAACTCCCCCCAACGAGACTCAAGTCTCAACCTTAATTTTGAGAATCTCGTCTCCTCCTTCATTCACAACCATATTTCACTAGAGAGTAGAGACGATCGTGTCTCCATTTAACATTATGTTAATGTTTGTGACGTTATGCTGCGAGTTGGGATTTTTTTACTTTGTATCTTTGTTATTTACTAAGATATACGGTGTTAAAATTATTCATGCATGTTGGATTTTATGTTTTAAGGCAAAAAAAAAAACAATTTTTTCTTAGTTATTAGTTCAATTTTAGTGTGATTATCTTAACAAAGTGTTCATTTTTCGTTCTATGTGGTCTATCTGGACCAGACCGTACCGGACCAGACCAGGCCGAACAGGCGTGGTCTGGTATGAACCATATAATATGTGGTTTGGTCTCTAGTCTATACTTTAGTCTCTCGGTCTATACCGTAGACCGTCTATATAGTCTGGTCTAAGACCAGACTGCACCGTTTCTCAGCCCTACTTTATGTCTTGCCTATGTAGCCTTGTTTTATATCGTCTATAATTAATTGCGTCTTGTCTCCCTTTAATAAAAAAATTAGTGTATGCTGTAATTTTATTATTGTCATAATGGAGTTATGATATTATCTATCTTTATGTATGGTAATATGATAGTGGTATGATGCTATTAAATTTCTTATTCAAAGATAAAATTTCATATTATCTTACAATTTTCATAGCATCGTCATATCATTATGGCAAAACTTCATAATGTTTTTTTTTTCAAAAGGGTGACATGGGTTGATTTTTATATCTACGTGCTATTGAAGAGATTCAAACCTATTAAACCCATGTTTAAGTCTAGTGGGTATTACAACTGAGTCAAGTCCTTGTTTGAGGTAAGACTTCACAATATTATCTCAGCATTTTAAATAAAAAAAATACGGTGTAAATCGAATAAGTAATGGATCGTTGGAAATGGTAAGATGACAGTAAAAGAATTTTGCTCCAAAAATATGAAAATGAATATAATCCCTTGAACACAAAAAAAAAACTATTTTTTAAAAAAAAATTATGCAATCAGTAATCAGAGTCATACGGATAAATAATAAATTAAACATGTATTGTTGTGTGTTTGGATCGATGAATAAATCAAACTTAAACGTTGGTAGTAAGTAACTGGGATTAAAACGAGAAAAGTTAAAAGTGGGTTATGGATATTGTTGTGTACTGTATCCCCATTTAATGCAAGCGGTCGGCGTGTCATACCCAAAACCCAAAACAAGACCTTGGAAAAGAACCGAAAACAAGAGGAGAGGAGGTATATTAATAATATTATATTATATTATATTATGGTCAACCTCTCGCTTATGGCATGCAACCTTTTCCCTTCTTTTGTGAATGACCGACCGGATCTCTCCCCCCTTTCCTTCCTTCCTTAGCTTTCCCTATATATACATACATTCTCTGCATTACTTCCCTCTTCTCTTCATAAACCCAACTTAATTAATTGATTCTCCCCTTCTCATCTACTCCACAAATCCTTCCTCTCTTCTCCTTCCAGTACTGATTCATCAACCAACAACAAGTGAAAAAAGAAAGAGAAACAAAAAGGAGGCCAGCCATGGTGTTCCACACGGTGCTGCTGAAACTTGCAGAATGGGTAGTGTACCAGCTGCTGGCCAATTCCTGCTACAGAGCCGCCAGAAAAGTGCAGAGCTGCGGCTGCTTCTTCCTCAGGATTAGAAACCCTTCTCCCAAGTCCAATCCATCACCTCAATCAACCCCAAAACACCACCTCCCCCCTGCAGGGTTCCCTAGCCTCGCCAAATTCGCAGGTGGCAACAAAGTCGGCACATTGGCCTGCGACTTTCAGGGTGCCCTGCTTCGTTCCAGCTCATTCTTCCCTTACTTCATGCTGGTCGCCTTCGAAGCGGGCAGCATCTTAAGGGCACTTGTCCTGCTCCTCTCTTACCCTGCCCTTTGGTTTCTGGACTCCGACCTCCAGTTGAAGGTCATGATCTTCATCACCTTCCGCGGCCTGAGAGTGAAGGACATGGAAAGCGCCGCCAGGGCGGTTCTCCCCAAGTTCTACCTGGAGAACCTCCATTTCCAGGCTTACCAGGTGGTGGCTTCTTCAGGGTCGGCCGTCGTTTTCACCAGCGTTCCTCGGGTCATGGTGGATTTGTTCCTCAAGGAGTATTTGGGAGTGGAGGATGTGGTTGGAACCGAGCTTGTCCAGGTCTCGAGAGGGAAGAATGGCGGGAATTACTTCACTGGGTTTGTGTCAGGAAATGGTTTGGTTGTCAAGCATAGAGCTGTAAAGGATTGGTTTGGCGACAGGAAACCTGATGTTGGGATTGGATCTTCTTCATCCCCTCAAGATTACCTCTTCCTTTCCCTCTGCAAGGTAGTAATTCCTTCCTTTTTCACTGCTTAAATCTTGTTAATTAATTGTGGTCTCTGTTATTTTCCCTGTCGAGGAAGAAACCACATGCAATTTAATGAGAGACTCTGTACTGTAAATGTTGCATCTTTTTTTTTGTTTCTTGAGAAATCGAATTTGCAAGGGTTTCCTTTCCTTTCCCCATTGGGTGCGGGACACCCTTTCCACCTACCCTATTAAATGGCGCTTTAAATTATTTGTCAGTCACTTCATTTCTCTTGTACCCATTTTGCGGGCAAATTTGGCGTGCAACTTGCCAATAATCACTTACTACTCGGATTTCACTCCCAGAGTTAATGCTGAGAAATGGGTTTTGATTTTGGGGCTGCAGGAAGCGTATGTGGCGAACAAGGAAGATTCCAACAAGATGCCAAGGGACAAATATCCCAAACCCTTGGTCTTCCACGACGGCAGGCTGGCTTTCCTCCCAACCCCGGCGGCCACCCTGGCAATGTTCCTCTGGCTGCCCATCGGGATATTCCTCGCCTTCTTCCGCCTCTTCGTCGGAATCCTCCTCCCCTACAAAATCGCCCTGCTCCTCGGCACGATGAGCGGCGTAAGGATCGATTTCCACGATTCCAGAGACAGAGCCGAAACAGAGGATCCCAAGACCCGAAACAGGGGAGGAGGGGTTCTGTACGTGTGCACCCACCGTACCCTCCTGGACCCGGTTTTCCTGAGCACCTGCCTGCAGAAGCCGCTCACCGCCGTCACCTACAGCCTGAGCAAGATGTCGGAGGTGATCGCCCCGATCAGGACGGTGCGGCTGACCCGGGAGCGGGAGCGCGACGGAGAGACGATGCAGAGGATGCTAGCGGAAGGGGATCTGGTGGTCTGCCCCGAAGGCACCACTTGCCGGGAGCCGTACCTGCTCCGATTCAGCTCGCTGTTCGCCGAGCTCAGCGACGAGATCGTCCCCGTGGCGGTGAACACAACGGTCGGCATGTTCTACGGGACCACGGCGAGCGGGTTGAAGTGTTTGGACCCGATCTTCTTTCTGATGAACCCGCGCCCAAGATACTCTGTTCGGATCCTGGAGAAGCTGCCGGCGGCGATGACGTGCGGCGGCGGCGGGAAGTCGAGCTTGGAAGTGGCGAATTACATACAGAGGCAGCTCGGCGGGGTGTTGGGATTTGAGTGCACGTCGCTGACGAGGCGGGACAAGTATTTGATGCTTGCTGGGAACGAAGGGATTGTCGATTCTTCTCCTCCCACATCCACGAAGCACTAGCTGTTTTCTTCTTTTCTTTTCTTTTCTTCTGATCTCTGTTTCCTTTTGGTTTTGGATTGAGAAGCTTGATGTTGATGATGACCATTCTTGCTCGTTTGGATGGTTTTGGTGTTAATTGTTGATTGGTTGAGTAAGTATTCTTTATTCTGCATTTTGGTTGGTAGACTTTATTTGTGGTTCATATTTTGTGCTGTGTAATTGTTGGATGGTCATCTTCAGGTCGAGTGTAGTACAATAGCTTCAGATCTCACGCAGCTGTTTTTCCTTGATGTTGTGAATTTGTGGAAAGAAGAAATTAGCTGTATGACTGTCCTGTTTCATGGCAAAACCCTCTCTTAGTCGTTTGCTTTAAGGATTTGGACGTGGGATTTGTTTCTCAAATCCAACACATGAAGGATTTGTCCAAAAGCCATTATTTTCTTCTTTTTTTTTTTATTCAAAGGAGGATATATAGTCAAGAAAAAAGGCACAAAAGGGAAACGAGATCTAACCCGTTAACCGTCTACAATCTAAACTACTACCATGACTATAGAATACACTTCAATGCCAAAACTATGAGTGAACGCACGTTTAGACGATCACGACAGAAGAGGAGTTGCTGGCTTTGTTGGGGTCGATTGCCATTACATCTCAAATTTTTGTTCCCCGAACTTGGTTGAGTTCCCCAAGGCTTGATGGCAAATTGAGCAATTAAGCACTTCCATGTCGTGTAGGGTGATGAGAACTTAGGGGTGGTCTGCTTCAAGGATTTGGTACATGGATTTGGTACCAAAAAACCAACTATCAAGGATTTAGGTACAATCCGTTGTTTGCTTGCACCTTTTTTTGAGATCAAATCCGTGGGGCCCATGGATTTTAAGGGTCCAAATCCGTGGACCCCACGGACTTATAAATCCCACATGTTGATGTGGGATTTGGAATATGGCATAAATCCTTGATGAGATTTTACCCTTATCCCCTCATGCACTTTTAATATTCCAAGGTTGCTCTCAAATTTAAACTATTATACATTATAATTAACAATAAATGAATAATCTAAACGTTCAATTAATGTGCAAACATGAGTTAGATTTTTTATATAATTTCTTGTGTTCTAGTTTTCTTTGACCTTTTCATGGAACGTGTAATTCTTTGTTCTCCCGATTCTAATATATGTTGTTATATGCTACTTTTGAAAAGGAGGACAAAGAATTGGTAATTGATTATGTTACGTTAAAAGTTAAAACGGAATTTTCTCGTTTATTATTATTGTCCATGTGGCAACATTATGCTTATTAGTATGTATTGTCCTTGTTTTGTGTACATATCATAAACATGTCAAACATATAGAAAATGATAGTAAGGTAATTTTGAAGTTTTGTCCTTGTTTTGTGTACATATCATAAACATGTCAAACATATATAAAAGGGCAGTAATGTAATTTTTGACTTCAAGTAGTAAATCCCACACCTTTAAATCCATGATAAAAACATCCCAACAAACAAAGGATTGTTACAAATCCATGATGCCTCAAATCCTTGATAAATCCTTGGGTTTTTAAATTAAAAAACTCTCATTTTTAAATCCATGAAGCAAACGACCCCTTAATTGTTTCATGCCCTTAGGGTGCTTCTTCATCTTCGTCATTGGCCCTTGAAGGTGTTTTTTGTTCGGTTTCTTCTATTCAGTGAAATCTCTTTCTTCTCATCAGTGTAGTGATATATCTATTCGTTTAAGATTTCTTTGTTCTCTTATTCAATAATGGGTCGACTTTCTTGGAAGCTAAAGCGTGAGATGTTTCGAGGGGTTGAACATTGACGATGTGAATTTTAGTATCGTTTGAGCCCAATATGGTGTGGATATGTGGGGGAGTCATTAACGAATTAAGTGTTGCAAATAGATCGGGGATTGTGCTTGACCCAAACCCATACTGGAAGAACATTCCTCATCTGGTATGAGGTTTTATAATACTAGCAAAAGTCGGCTCGCTATCGCTTCGCGTGTCACAAAGATAAATATCTTAAAAAGTATTAGTTTTAATGTTGACCCAAAAGTGAAAGTAATCTTATTTCATTCTTAATCATTCTTTTCATAGGTTTGTTATTTATAATAACATATTGTGAATGAACTTGCATAAGGTAGAGGGGTCGTCGAATAGATTATTTATGTTTAAACTTTTTCATGATGCTAATGTTTCAATTTGTATGGCTTTTTTTTTTTTGGTTTGAGGTAATCGTGGTTCTCTTTTATAAATTTTTTGGACTGATTGCAGGTTTGAGTAGATTCAACTCGCATTGATCGGGTCAAATTAGGTTGGATACCCATAGATTTGGGTTCAATTATCTTTCTCAAACAAAAGGAAAACGCGAAATGAAAAACATTAAAGCTAAAACTCGCTACCGACTCAAAACTCGATAGCGACTCAAAACTCGTCAACACCAGGTTCAACTCGCTTTGACCTAGTTGGACCGAGTTTTGGAAAATTCACACCTGACACAACACGCCAATTACGAAAACAAATAAAACACTTTCCCGCCGAAAACCTATAAAATCGGGTTCAAGTCGTTTTGGCCGGGTCGAATTAGGTTGTATACCCATGCGTTTGGACTCAATTGTCATTCTCAACTAAAAGGAAAAAGATAAAAAAAAGTACTAAAGCGGATAAAACTCGCTCATGACCCCAAACTCTCAACACTGCGTTCAACTCACTTCTTGGGATGGCATATAAGCAGCAAACGACGAAGTCCATGGTAACCAACAACAGTGACGGGTGGGAACCCGAACCGCCTCACCCACGGTTGCACACCATGGACGAACGGCTTGGAAGCCTCGGGACCCGCTCGAATCCCTTGGTCGGGCAAGTCGAAAGCCTAGACCACAAAGTCACTGTCATCATGAATCTAATGGCGAAGGGTTTTAGGCGGCAGAGGCAAGGAACGTGAAGCGGTTCTCATCATTGGAAGTCTGGTGCGCACCATCGCCACTCAGACTATCGCGGCGACGGATCAAAGGCTGGAGGCATTGTGACATCGTCGAGTGAAGTGGTAGTGCTACCACCACTCCAATCGTGGCTCGAGCTCGTGAACCAACGTCCGGAAAGGCATCGGAGAAACTGAAGGGTCCTTTAATCGACGAGGACGTCGACGACATTAACCCTAAGGCGCCGCACATGATGGGGGTCGCCGATGGGAGGCGGCGGCAGGGTGAAGACGGGTCATGGGTCAGGTCTAATCCGACCGACTAGTTGGGCTTGGCCTTATTGTTTTGGGCCATCAAGGTTTGACCCAATGGGTTTGCTTATAGGCTGGGGAACAAAAGTTGAAGTAGGGTTCCCACGAGTCGGGTTGATGGGAGGTGGGCCGTCATAGATAAGGGCTGGGCCGAGAGCACATATTGGTCTCAACATGGGCCACCTGTTGGACGAAGGAGGAGGAGTAGGCCCCTTGGCCACCTTGGCCGGGGTAGCAGGCGCCGGGCAGGGTCTGGCAGGGCCCGACAAAGAGTGGGCTGGGAGCTGAGTTGGGGGCGAGGAATCGGGTTGGGAGATATCGGGCCTACAGGAAGCGGGCTGGAAGTAAACTTGAGTCACCGATTAGGCCACTTAGGCCACTTGGACTGTTAGCGGGATCATTTGTGCCGGTTGGAGCCGGCTGTGGGTATTGGGACAAAACGAGATTAGCTCGGGTTAGGGGCGGATCGACCCGCGAGGTCGGGTTATGGAGAAGGAGGTCGTGGGCCGAGTTATGGGATGGAGGAGAAGACCAGATGGTTCAAGCCCAAACTAACTCAATTGCAGTTCCTGAAGTGTAATGGAACGACGATCCATCTGGATGGTTAGGAAGAGTGGAACAATTTTTTTAATTCCAGGAAACACCAGAAGAGCACAAGATACCTCTTGCGTCCTATCATATGGAAGGGAATGCGAATCAATGGTGGCAGTGGATGGATAACACTTACACCGCATTGGGATTGCTAGTCACATGGGCACGATTTAGGGAGGAGTGGTGGGCTCGATTTGGGGCGGTGGAGGGTGCATCAAGACATGAGGCTCTCACCAAAATTAAGCAGAGTTGGCCATTGAGTGACTACTTGTTGGTGTTTGAAAAGTTAGGCAATCACTGTTTTGGGTGGCCGAATAAGCTCTAGTGGGATCATTCATTGGTGGGCTAAAACTGGAGATATTAAATGCTATTCGGATGTTCAGCCCGAAAACTATGCGAGAAGTCATTCGCCTCACCAAGGTGAGAAGCGACAAGCTCGCCAAGCATCGTCTAGTGGCTCGAATTACTTCAAGAGCAAATGCGAAGGTCGGCGATAGTCGGCGGCATCATCATCATCGCCTACGCCACCTCACCAACCTGCGGCACGCCGAATATCGCCAGAAGAGGTAGCTCCATTCCGAGCACATGGATTGTGCTTCCATTGCGATGAACGCTTCACCATTAGTTACTGTTGTGCCAACAATAACGTACTTCTCAATTCTCATGATTGGTGCGTGTTGTGAATAGGAGGAGGGCCAGCTCATCGAGTAGGAAAACCTATCTTGAGGGCAAGGTTGTATTCAAGGAGGGAGGAATGTTCCGAGATTGGGCCATCATGGCATTTCGTAGAAGACTGGGCTTGTCCGCTTGTGTATCTTTTAATATTTTTATTATCAGTTCGCATTTGGATATTGTTTGAGTATTTTATGGTATTTATTATTTATGTTTACTTGTTGGTATTGTATTGAGATTTTCTAGTACGTATGTGTTTAGGATTTAGTATTTGTTTCTTTGTAGAATAGGTTTCATATTGCGGTTAGGAAATGGAAGAAAGGGTGGCCGACCCATTAGGAAAAGGAGAGGGATTATCATGATTTTCTAACCTATAAACATGTACCTATTCATTTTTGTTAGTGATACGAAGATAGGAACACAAATATTTAGTTTTCGTCCTTTCATTCGCAATTTCCTTTGAGAGTTCTAGTTGTAATCTTTTATTTTGTTCAAGTACTAAAAACGCCACCCCCCCACGTCATATCACTGTAACACAGAGGTCGTAAGCATACGTATCAAGAGCTGCCAAAAAAAGAACTCAGTTTGGACTAAAGATTCAAATTCCAAATTCATTCCCATAGCAAGGGATCCACAACCCTCAGATGTGCGCATGCACTGCCCGTCGATAAGATTTGCAAGCTAAATGGTAAGTCGATTTTACCATGAAAATCCAGGTCAATTCATACTTACCAATTACAATTCTTACACTAAAAGCGTTGTCTCTAGGGCTGCAAATGAGCCAAACTGCTCACGAGTGGCTCGACGCTCGACTCGGTAAAAATTTATTCGTAACTCGGCTCGTTTAGTTCATCCT